CTTGTCCAACACCCCTAGGAGAAGAAACAGGGAGTGTGTGGACACAGAGTAGCAGGAGTGCCGGTGAATTAGATGACACCGCGTGAGTCCAGGAACCTAGGGGATCAGACTGGAACAGGAGACAGAAGCAGGTCGAGGATACAGTCCGAGGTCAAACCAGCCGAGCAGCGAAGAACAGAATCAAGAACCAGGAGAGGTGTCAGAGTCACAGGCCGAGGTCAAGAGCAGCGAATCAGCGAGGTAGAAAGCAGGGGGCAAATCCAGTAAACAGGTCAAAGTCACAGTGGCAGGCAATGTAGAGCAGGTCAGGTGCACGAATCAAGCAGGCAGGTCAGATCACAGGAAACGAACAAGCTGAAGATCTTCCAGTAACTTGTGTAGACTACATGCTTGTTTATATAGGCCATTAGGCTGTTAGTGCACGTCCTATGCAACTTCCTGTACACCAACCCGTTGCTCTGTGCGCACATCCGTACATGTTTCTGCACGCATTCCGCATCGCACACATCTGCGCACGCCTTCGCACTAATGCATGTTTGCCAGTGGTTCTAAATACAGGATTATGCACAACCATCTGAGTACATACATATTGGGCTTTTCTTACACCTATGCAGATAGCAGAGTTGTGAGAGGGACCCAGCAGGTTCTCTGACTACAGGCTATGTGCAGAAAACTACAGGGGGGCAGATAAAGACCAGTTTCCCTGCACAAGGAGAAAAAGCAGCACTTATCATTCTTTATTACAAGAAACTCCTAAACATAGACAAAGTACAATAAGTTGTTTAATGCTGAATTACTGCCCAGTAATTTTTTTAGCCTAGACTTTACATCCAGCGTCTTAAATGTAAGGCCCATTCCCAGGTGCACTAGCATGGTAAGAATTATATCCATTTCCTTGCAGATCTATGTGGAAAAAGGTCATCTTGGCCATTGGTAACCCAATATGGAATGCATAATGCCCCTCGCATGAGGTCCAAAGGACCTTCACCCTTCCTGCTGGGCCTTCACTGAATACCAACACCTTCCATGTTCTGCTCCCCAGTGATTTATTTGCTCTCTTTTCTGCTTTCCAACTGAGGTGTTTTGAACAAGACAGGAATGATCTGCCCTATTAGGCCAAAACTGTGATAGGACCCAGATAGAGACCAGATTCGTCCTGCCATTCTAAAAATAAGTACATTGATCAAGTTGATTTTGGTATTTACCTTATCAGCAATGCAGAAAATCATATTATACTCCATGCAAAACGTGTGCATCTATAGTCGAAGAATAGTAGAAAGATTAAATGACAAAAATAGCCCTGATCTAGGCAAGTCCTAATGCAAGGTCTGCTTAAAGGAGAACTATGAGGTGAGTGCTTTTCACTCACCTCATAGTTCTAGCCGACCTGTGACAATGAGACTGTCACAGGTCGGCTTAGTAGATCGGGAGGTGAGCGAACACATACCGGCGCTCGCTCACCTCTCGATCCTGTCACGGCTCTCTGCCATGACAGGGGAGGGGCTGAAGCGGTTGTGGCATCTCTTTGGGTCACGTGGGGGGACAATCAGAGCATCCCAGGTTGCTAAGTGCTGGACGGAGAGATATTTAAGGGCCATACACATCTCCCCTTCTGGCTCTTAGTAATTCTGGATTTTCTTGGCAACCAGTGACGCCAATGGTTTTTTAGGTGCTGAACAAGACTCTCTGGCTGGAGTCCCGTCCAGTTTCTGGCAACCAGTGACATCAGTAAGCTGGGGGGGACGCCGGCCAGGGCTGGTGCTGCACCATAAGGATGTCGGCCAGAGCACCATTAGCGTGCACCACCAGCACATCCTAGTGTGTGTCTGCACCAAATCTATAGAAAGAATGGCTTTGAATAAATTACTGCCGTGTGAGAATACACGGAGCAGTAAAAGATTGAGGAATCAAATTTCTGGATAGCTGTAATTTATGATGATCCCCTCAATGAGGGTGAAGAATAACATGAAAACCTGAAAGTTGGTTTGATATGTCATACACAGGGTCACAGGGTTTATTCATATACAGATGGTCAGTGACTGATAGAAAAACACTTGCTACCTTTTAAAATATTACTCTTATTTTTGGTTAAATCCGCTCTCTACTGTCCGTAACTCTAAGCTTGAGTTATGAGCTAGACGCTATGGCTTCAATCCCCAGAGTGTTTAAGAGATGGGCACAGAAATCACTTCTTCCACAGATTGAAATGGATGCAGCTTTTCAACAGTTCAATTCTGATCTGCTCAATACAATTTTTGTAGTGGATTCAATCTTCCCTAATGGGTTTTTGCTGAGACACTCTGCCCAAGATTTTCTCTGCTATAATGCCAAGCACTATTTCTCCCTTTGTTTAATTATATTTATTGTCTGGTGACCCTGTACATCCAAAAAATTGGGCTTTCTTAGCACTCACTTCCAAATTCAGATGTGAGGGCACGTAACCTAAAGGTGCCAAAAATACAGCTATAGCAATACAGTATATGTCCTGAAGCCTGTAGAAGCAAAGTATGTAGCAATTCGGGAGTCTATATAATTAAAAAAACACTTATTTCTTATACATGAACAGTATTGGCTTATAATTAGACTATTTTTACTTTGTATTCATTCTTACATACAGTATTTCAAAACAATTTGTAAATAGGTAGCAGATAGAACATTTAATTTTCTCAATGCTGGTAGATGCACTGACTTTTATGTATAAAGAAAAACTCTACAATTTGTGCATGCTCTTTCGGTTATCACATAAATGTTTTTGTTTTTAATTTCCTTTTAAGAAGACTTTCTGAAAAATAATTTATTTTTGTTGTTCCCAAAAGTCAATCATTCTTAATAAATTGTACCCCGTCCAGTGTAGCCCCTGTTGCCTCCATTCTTGAGGATGCACTACTTATTCTTTACTAAATCGTCCTGGAAAGTTGTTGTCTTATCAGGAATCTTGCTCCAGGCATGACTCCCGTCTGCACCTGACATCACCAAAAATGGATCAGTTAAGCTGCATATACTGTACACCTTCAAAGTTCAGTTGGTAAGCTACAAACTCTCTTATGGTGCCGTGTATTACTGCTAAGGCAAATAGCAGTGTGACAGTCTAGCTGAGCAGGTAGTGTGTTTACAGCTCCATTGGCCTGATGATATTCAATGACTGGCCTAATGAGACTTATAGGCGTGTGTAATACCTGACCCCCTGCAGCACGCTGTGGTTTGTCTGGGTGGCATGTTCTGTAGTGATGTAAGAGTTGGAGAAAGGAACAATGCGTGGGGAGCAGGTATTCCACACACCCAATCCCTGCAGAGGCCAGCAGAGTTTTTACATACTAAAGGGTAAGTATACAGCATCTTATTTTACAGGCTGGTTTTAGTTTATTTTCAACTCATAGTGACCATCCCTTCCTGGTCGGTGTAACTCGGGGCGTTGCAGGAGTGTGCTCTTTTTCTGCATACTTTGTGCTAAAAGGTGTCCCTCTTTGTCATCCCACAAAGTTAGAGAGCATGAATGTATGTATTTTTGTTAGCAAAAAAAAAAAAATGCAATCCTGTTTTACTCACATTGCTCTGCAAAGTACGAAGTATCCTTTTGTGAGAGTTTAATTCCACTTTGCGATCTGGAATTGGGTTGTACCATTTGTCATTTGTGTGCTGTTGCATATATACACAAAACATGAGACTACAGTATATGTTGCATATGTACACCAATCATCCACCAATATCCACTAATGTATGAACTTTAAAACACATGTAGCTAGTGAAGTCAGAACCAAAGCAGAACTCTTTATTGCATGGTATTGAAGCCATTAGGTTAACACAACAGCTAGTCAACAAGTCTATTTTAGGAGAAGAGATCAACAATGGCAGGCTTAGAGATGTAACATTTCCAGAACTTTTAAAGCCATGAGAAAAAAAAACCTTTTTTCCAGAAAAAAATGGAAATGTTTGGAAAAATTGGAAAAAAATCCAGTGTGGAGTATTTTTACAAGTAATTTTGTTACACTAGGAATGTGAAATGCAGTGTATATAAAAGTATTATGCTTGAAATAAAAGTACAGCTTTATAACATGTTATTTTATATTCTGCTCTTAGCAGAAGTTGCACTGTGGAAATGTTTCCAAACTGTAGATGTTGGTCTCACCATTTTACTGAGAGAAGAAAAAAATCTATTTACTGAGCAGACTCTAGGTAAACATTATACTGCAATGGTGAAGAACATTATTAGGAATAATTTAAAGGTTATTAAAGATAAACTAATTTGTCAGACAAAAGTACCCTCTTAAGTGTCAATTAAGGCCTAAGAGGACAGAAACTATCATCCATCATCATACCAACAATCACCCAACTGTAGGAGGTAGCAAATAGAGCCCACAAGCTAAATAAACTGGAGCCTTTCCTCTGCAGTGCCCCTAGTGGCAGAAATGCATATTTTTTTTGAGTTTGAGAACTGCTTTGAGAAGTACAGTGTTACTTGAATTGTATTCCAGGATTTGCTTGTCTTCATCTAAGACATTGTGCAATCATTTAAGACTTTACATAAAGTTTTCAGAAATCTTTCATGAAGGTCTTCATGTTATATATTTTGAATACCATGTCAAAGATATATTATTCATCATTGTAAAAGAACATATTCCACACTCCTTTTCTTATTATTTCAGTTTTTCCGCATAAAAAAACAAAAAAGGCTTGGGAAAAAGATTTTTTCCCCCCAGTTTTTCTCTGTTCTTTTTCCAGCCCTTCCCATCTCTAGGCAGGCTCCATATTTCTCATAGGACAGTTTTTCTCCAAATAAAGGACATTTTTTTAAAAACTGATTGGCTACAGTCTCGTAAATATTTATATTTAAAATAAGCCCAATCACCTAGCTTAGGTGGAATGTGTCTTTCACAACAGCTTACTGTCTGAATGCCACCATTTAAGAGTGTGTTTTGTAGTATCCTAATTTTAAAGCTATTTGCGCAACAACTTGCTACTAGTATATTTATTTATGTATATTTCCTCCTTTATCCTTCCAGGGAAAAGCAATGGTATTTGCTCCTCAGAGAGGGAACACTTTAAACCAGTTCTGCAATCTAGCAGAGGCGGCTGGCTTTTCTATCCAAAGACATGAAAATTACGATGAGCATATTTCCAACTTCCACTCCAAGGTTGGTTCTCTGCTTGCGACAGATAATACTTTAATCCACATTGCATTTTGAAGAGATCATGGTCTTTTTGGCAGGTAACAAACGTTTGATTAAAGCCGTCCTAAGGTGTGCTGCTACTCAAGCGCTATTTTTATATGTGATTAGTTTTTGGTGTTAAACCATCCTTTATCTCCGGACGTCTAGCAGCTTTTAACCGAAGGATCTTCTATTGGAGTTACCATAGTGAAGAAAAAAAAAAGTCATCTTGCATTATTTGTAGGAGGTATTGTGTAAGGCACATATAAGCCGCGAATCAACAAGCTTGTAAAATGACTATAAACAAATGTTAGGCTAATCTAGCGGCAGTATGTGTTGAAACAAACAGAAGGGCGATGTCTAATTGTGTTATATCATAACTTAAATCCTTATCGCGGCAAGCATTATGGCTGGGTTAGTTGGCAGATTCGAACTGCTAAATCTCAAACAGCATTTCACAGCTGTGAGGTTAGATGTCAGATTGAGGAGCCACAAGATTTAGGTCAAAAGCACTTATCTGTGATTTCTAAGCTTGCTTACATAAAGCCCCTGCTATCAGTACTCTTCTCATCATTATATATAGGTATATAACACAGACAGGCATGTTACTGAGGTAAAATCAGAAGCTTAACATATATATAGGTAAAATATATCATGCAAATAGAGCTTAGTGTTTTTGTATTAAATAGATGTTTGTTAGATGTTTATAAAATATAAATGGATGCTGTTTTTGCATTCACTTATATGGCACTAGCAAACTCGGCAGTGCTTTACAGACACCATGGACTACTCACATCTCTCTGTTCCTTCCAAAGAGCTTACTGTATAATGTGCACTTTACACCGATACAAGGAAAATGTTGGCCATCCTAGAAGATACAGGTGCTTCATTGTGGCCCCTGATATCACTATAGGGCTGCATATAATATTCAGCATATGCAATGTTACAGAACACCTTCAGAGACTCGTAGACATATTACAGAAGTCTGTTAGAGACTGTGGACATGCTACAGGATACTGTCTGAAATTGGGGACCAGTTATATGAAACTGAAGGTATGTTGCACACACCTCTGCACTCTGTACATTATACAGTCATGACCCGTGAACTCTGTACATAAGATACTCTTGACCCCTGCACACTGTACATTACACACTTCTGACCCCAGGACTCTGTACATGTGTATGACTATTGGGCATGCATGGTGTGGGTAAGACAATTGGGAGGACACATTACAGAAGAGGGGGGGTGGGTGACCTTGCCCTGGTGCTGAGTACAGTGCAGAATTTCTGGCATTGCATGTATTGTTGTACAGTTCAGCAGCTCTGGCATTGTGAGTACTGTAGTACTGTGTAGCGGTTCTAGCAGTGTGAGTACTGTAGTACTGTGGAGCAGTTGTCATGCATGTGTAGTGCTACAGAGCACTCTATGCTGGGACCTTCCAATGGTCCTAACATAGAGTGAGGGGAAGTGTAAATTAGTTTTTATTAAGCCACTTGATGCAGAGCCATAGGAGTCCAAGAATGTTTGATACTTTTCAAGTTCATAAGCTGTCCAGTCCAGGTATGCACCTAAGCATGGAAAACACTGAATACTGGATGCGGGGGTCGGATTGTCACACAATAAGGGCCAAGGAGCTGCACGAGACCCTTCGGGCCACAGGTTGGGCACCAAGGTTCTAGAGCCAAATTAGCTTAAAGCCAGTAACCTGCCTGTATGTTATAAGAGTACAATCCCTTATCACTTAGTAATGTCTGTTAGAGTTTCTGCGGGTATGTTTTTTCCTTTGCAGTTGGTCTTGGGGGGGGCTCTCAGCACTAAAGCACTAGTTAGAATAGATACCCAAAAGGGTCCATTAATAACAGAGGGTGGATATCGCCTATGCCTTTCTGCACACTGTGGCCCATTTTATGGCACATTCATAAACTGTGGGCAGCGGTATGGATCCTGCAGTGCCCCACTGAGTTCTCTTTTCTTAATGTAACAGAGAGAGCTCCTTGAGTAAAGGAGATCTGTTCACATGACATGACCAGGCTCTCCTTCTGGCTTCCTTTTTTATCTTGCCATTCATATTTATTGTGCCGTGCAGGCTGTGGGCTCCCAAAGCCAGGGGAGTGCAGTGCACATTTCTAAAGCGCAAAGCTGTGATTTATAAATGTACGGCCACAGTACTGCTGTTTTTTTTTTTTAAGTGCTCCTAATGTCTGGTCTGACCTATCTCTAATTGTTAAGTTGACTCTAATGCTTAGTCCTCTCCTGCCCAAATCTTTACTTCTTACCCACCAAATAAATCCCTAACTTTTATCCTCCCCATTTAATATAACATTTAACTTGACCATAACCGTTACCCTTTGTCACACTTTCCCAAGATCCAGCGCCAGGTCTCCTCTCCGCCACATTCAATTGGGAAACAGAGGCTTTAAAATCTGAAGCAACACCGGCCTCTGCGTTCGGCTAATCTGAGCCCCATGCTGCCAAAGTCTTATTTGCATCCTTGTGCCCAGCTTCAATCTCCCCAAGCCTCCTGCGTGCCACTGTGCTCTTCAGAGTCCTGGTGGTTCTTCCATGCCTGCCTCCAGTCCGCTGTTTGTTCAACCGTGCCTCCTCAACTGTGCCTCCTCAGCTGTTTACAGAACCTTTGACCCCACTTGGTCTCTGTGTGCTCCAAGACTGCATCCAAAAGCATTTTGTGACATCGAATGACCTCAGTGCAACCTTTTACGCCCCGTAACTGCAGTTCATTCCAGGGAATCTAGTGTCCCCAGTCCCAGTGTGCCCCTGTGCACATAGGTGACTTCAGTACACCCCAGATTATTCACTTTCTTCTTGTTACCCTAGTGTGCCCCATGTCTCCAATGCACCCCAGAGCATGCAGTATTATCTACTGACCACAGTGTGTCACTATGCGCCCCTATACTCCTGTGCACCAGAGGGCATCTAATGACCCCAGTGTGCCCCTGTGCATCCCGTGTCTCCATTGTATCCTAGAGCATCCACTGTCATCTGCCCCATGATTCCTATGGACCCCTATGCTAACTAGTGACTCTTAGTGCCTCCTGTGCACCTCCATGATACCTGAGTCTCAAGGCAGTTGTCAAGCCTCCTATCTCCTATCTTTTTCTCAGTGGAATCGGACCCCTTTCCATGACACCCATAAACGTTATTCTATCACTTAACTGCTAAATCTTCTAACAGTTAATCTTGGCACTCAACCACTTTAATTGTATTGTGACACATAAAGCTTAAAGTCAATGAAAGCTAACAGTCCTGTGTGTAACTTCCCACTCATAAGAACTTATTCACTTTGGGGAATTCTTCAAATGAGTTGTGGCATTTATCTCCAGTTTGCTCTGCTTTCTTCTTGAAGTCTTTCTGCTATCCCGTTTTCTTGCATGAATAAAGCTAAAGCTGGCCATACACTGTTCTATTATTTTGTTCAACTTGTGGGCTGAAGGAAAAAAATAAGACAGATTCCTCCATGAATGCTTGTGAGCGCTGATCGAGCAATCTCCCGCTGTCTTCATTGTATTTTGACAGTAGCCACCGGCCGCTGTCAGACTACCCGAACAGAGCCAGCAGTTCATTGGCTGCTGGCTCTGTTCATTCAAAGATTTTCCGACTGGCTCCTTCCTTTGATCAGTTGAAATTCGCACAGTGTATGGCCACCTTAAGGCTAATTTATTCAAAGCAACAGGTCACTCCCTGTATTTACTACTTTTGTAAAACGTTTACACCTGCTATCGCTTTGGAGTTGCAGTATTTCAGTGCAGTGGTTCTCAACCTATATCAGTCATCATGCCCTTTAAAAGTATGCTTAATTTTAGGGCACCCCAGTCTAAAATGTAACAAAAAGTAAATACAGCCCAAACCTTTATCCTAGATAGTGGACTGGTCTGGATTTTAAGGGTGAACCCCACACACAAAGACAATGTGGGGTTCCCTCCTTTTACAATAGAGCCTCCCTCCATTTCACATTAGGAGCTCCTTTAACATAGGTGTCCCCCCATAACTTGAGGATCCTCCTTTCACATCAACCCACCTTTACATCTGAGTCCACTCCTTCACATTAGATTCCCCCCTTTCACATCAGGGGCCCCCTCTTTCACATCAGAGTCATCCGCACTTTTCACATTAGATGTCCTCCTTCAGCAGTCACCTACACAGACATCAAAATGCATGACGCTGTGCAAAAAATATAAGAGCACCCCCTACGCCAGGCGAAAGCCCATTTGATAAAACTGTAGAGGTTGAATTGAAAAATAACTGGCCAGCAATCACTGCAGTTAATGATTCACAGCTCATCCTATAATAGAAGGGTTGCTGAGATGTGTATGCTTGTCTGAAGGTGTATCAGACATGTGTTTCTTCAGTTTCTCAAAGAGAAGCCATAGGATTCTCCTAATATCCACTTAAAAATGAGATACAGTGCTTATTTTCCTGCCCCCTCTCATTGCTGTCTGGAAGTTTGAAGGAGCATGTGTCTGGCTATCTGAGTGACAGGTCCACTTTAAACTCAACACATTTCGAGTAGGTATTATAAGAATATTGTAAAGCAGGTTTCACTGTGCCGTTTTATACATGCAAACAAAACATCCCATTGATTTGCTCTTATTTTTTGCTTAAGAGAGGCTTATATTTATCTTCTATTTTACAAGCTCTACATAAGATATGAACATTGTACATTTGCCCCTGCTGGCTGTAGTAATGACAATCTGCAGCGTATTCAAACCTTTCCAACACCTAAGGGGGTTATTCACTGAAATGTACCAGCCGTAAGCAGTTCATAGGAGCCTTTCAAGTTAATGGCCGTTAACAATTGCTAATAGCTACTGCAGTTCATTGAATAACCAACCACAGGCCTCTGGTGTGGATAGAAATGTAGATTTGTATGCTGTTTAAATTCGGCATGTATTAAATGTATCTATCTAAGGTTTTATTTTTTTTAACTTTCTTATCCAATAGGAAAGTCTTTTGGCTGTAATTTGCA